TGCTTATACTGCAAGGAACATAATTTAAATACTTTCAGGAATTTAATCTATCAAATATCGAGATAAGTCACATAGTGTTGGTTTACACAAAATAATTATGTCCTTTGCATTACATTTTAAATATAATTAATAAAATTTCATTTTTAAATATAACTTTTGTGCAATATAAAAACATATTATCACTTATTTAAAATTGCAATATACAATATATTTTATTATAAAATAAAAACAAAATAAAAAAGCGATACTGACTGACGTCCATAAACTCAGATTCAATCTACCCGTTCGAATGAGAAACTTTTTCACCTTATTTATAGGTAGAACACATCGAAATCTGTGTTCTGAAATGCTTTCGAAAGCATTGCATAAACGTCAGAATAACTATATTCGGATAATTAGACAGTTAAAAATATATCTTCAATTTAGACCCATTAAAACTGTATTAATCGCATATCTGATTTGGCTAACATCAATAAATTAACATTCGTCTCTATATCTGAACACAGTGAATTCAACGATAACGAAACAGCTTACAGACCTTTCTCACTTACTCATTTATCAGACTGCCTCAGTACTTAACACTATCGAATATATAGGTCATAGGCCTATATGCGCAGTCATAGGCCGAAGACCTAAGAGATTATAAACAGCTCTCTACGGTTAATAACAAAAACGCTTATAGCATTCTTTGTCTGGATAGTTTTGAACTCAGATTAACAATTACTGTTTTAATAGACGCTCTACCTATTTAAATGCCATCTTTTAGAGTTACAATTAAAAAAATGTTGACACCTGTAGATTCTTTGAAATTTAGAGTGAAATATTTTCCGATCTTATATACGTGTCCTATGATTGTTAGAAAAGATTTGTTGGACCTTCATGATGCTTTTATGGAATCGAAAAAAATGCATTATTGCAATGCTTATCAAAAGCGTTATTTGGTTCATGTTAGCTTATGGTCACGTTACGATTGCATTCATGTCACGGCAATTGTTGTTGATTTCAATGCTGAGTGAAAATTTGACAACTGACATGAGTGACGTGACATGCCCTCCTATGAAACTATATTCTTTAATGAAAACAATATAGTTCTCATAAGTCGCTCTATATCAATAATATATTAGTTGTTTAAAGATTTCATTGCAAAATTCAAAAGATAATATATTTTTATAGTTGTTTATTTATAAGATAAATTTATACAAAGAATTAAGTAATTAAAAAAAGCAGAACCCAATTGATATAGTTTTTTTCATATCAATCGGGTTAGTACTTTTAAATAATCTATTAAACATTTGGATAGGATGAAGGAAACTTGCTGACACTGTGATTATTGCAATCACTGATTTCGGGTTTGATGTACGTAACTTGCAAATCACTGTCGTTTGACTTACTGACCTATTCATGGCACACCAGGTATATTAAGTTTATGATATATTCTGCAAGCCACTTCTTCAAGAAAGATCACTGAATCATAACAAATCACATAATAAAAAAATATAAAACCGTTTTTACTATGTATTTTGTTGTTGCATCACTGCCCTTTACTGCAATTCAATATAACTTATTTGTGCAATACCGCGTTCTATGTTAATTATTTACTTTTATCAACTTACCCATTAAATATTTATAAAAGTATATGCAATATACTATTTTTAATGAGAAATAAATCTTAGAAATACAAAGCCTTTATAAACTATAAAGACTATAAGTCATGAATCATTTTTTATAAAATCGGGGTGCTTTATAAAGCAATAACCTAACCTCTGAGTTTTTCTGTTTATGATAACACAATAGGCCTATAGTTCTAAATGGATCCCTTGTGATTGTCGGTATAACCCAACCTAACCTATAAAGCAATAATGCTAAAACATCTGTCTCATACGAAGTCACATAAAACTTTTATGATAATGATAACACAATAGGCCTATAGGGATCTAAATGGATCCCTTGAGATTGTCGGTATAACCCAACCTAACCTATAAAGCAATAATGCTAAAACATCTGTCTTATACGAGGTCACATATAACTTTTTCAATTATAAGATCTGTAGCACTTTAGTTTCTTAAACTTTTATGAATATGCATATAATTATAAAAAAAAAAACAATTGATTTTATTCTTATTTAATTAAATTTATTAAATAAAACCATTTTATAACAATTTGTATTTTTAATAATGTATTTCTCTTTCCACAACATTGTAGATTATTCATTCCAAATAAAAATGATTAAATTTACTCTGTCAACTAGTCAACTACATCGATAAGTGGTTTGCCAGAAATAAACTTTAACTTCTACATTAAATAAACAATAAAATAGTCCACAAGTATCCATACCCAAAGCAGCGATATTAGACGAGAAGTATCACTCTATCCATAATATCGACATACGAGTGGTTGTGTTTTTTGTAATAAATAAAAAATAATAAATAATGAGGGAGGGGGTAACTGATTTGGGAAGCGGTTTTCAGAATAGCAAACATTTGTAAACATTTTTGTTTACATAAATTATGTACGCATCAATGAACACTAAATTGAAGTGCTTATTTAAATAATCTACAACATAATTGAGGTTGGGTGGTTTCTGGTATTTGTAACCTCCAAAGAGTAAACGATTTAATGTGCATTTTCATTGGTTTGTTTATATTTAGTGAATATTACGTACTATACTAAGCAAATAGGAATTTTACACTAGAAAATCAATTACATATATATTTCTAAAATTTACTTTATTTACATATCATATACATATATAAATCCAATCCATAATTGAACTAGTTTAAAATTCATTTATATATTTCATATAAATGCTTGATTTATGGATAAAAAACATTTTTCTTTAACTTTAGAATATCTTTATTTGTTCTTTTTACAGCCCGTTTATTATTGGTACATGGTACAACCATGTGCTGGTTCTAAATTTTGGCTTTATTTTAACTTCAAATCATAGATTGATTGTTGTTTTCTTTTTTACCTAATATAATATTTTTAAAATTTTTTAAATCTATTTATATATAATACTCCCATTCGATTTTCTATTTTTCATTAGAATTAAAATATCTGAATTAATTTTATAATAAAATATAATTCAAATATGTACATTCAGTATAAAAAGTATCTAAAATTATTAAATAAAAATCATAAATTAACATTAGCACGATTTTCTCAGTATTAGGTTTTTAGATTAGGTTTAATAATTAAAAATAAAAATATGATTAATTAATTCAATTATTCTGCAGCTGGTTTATGATTTCGTTCTAATATAAACACAGCAAGTAGATTTATTAATAAAAACTTTCACAGCAAATTAACAAACGGTGCGAACATAAAAGTCAAGTACGGCTTTGACTCAGTTGGTTAAGGAGCGCTGACTTTGAGCTTCAAATTTGGCAGGGCATGAGTTCGAATCATGGTATATACAATCTCAAAAAATCATTTACAAATAATTAAATACAATAATTATTTCCAAGATAATTGCTGTTGGGTATTTGACAATACTCGAAACAGCTGTATGGTCAGCCAAAAATTCAATTAATTAAAATAATAAAAAAAAGAATTTGTGTTGTTATAGTTAATTACTTTTCGAAGCCCTCTTAAAAAAATGATCAATCAAAATTTATTTTTTTAATTTTCAAATAGATTACAAAATGTATATGTATATATTTTGCATATTTACATATATCTTTTCCGATTTTCTGGAAAATCATATATATGTTATCTAAATTATAAATCCGTTTACTATTAATTTAATTTATTTAATATTAATATTAATTTATATAATATTAATATAAAATTATTAATATTATTTTTTTTTAATTCATTCTGTAATAATTATTGTTAATAGTTTATCAAAGCAATTAAGTATACCATCTGATAATTTCAGTACATTTTTAAAAATGCTGTTTTTCTAAGTTTCGTTGTGGAACGAACGAAACTTCTGCTCTCTCTTACATTTTTTTACTGAGTATTTTGTTAGAACTTCTCAACAAAGTTACATACATGATTTGATATAACTTTCTCAAAACGTACAGAAAGCAACAATTCAGATTCTTAATAGGCGTTATTTTTTTCAGAAGAAAATTCGTTAAATTAATTTACGAGTACGTGAGACGAAAGCTCTAGAAAAGAAGTTATCCAATTTAAAATATATATATTACAACCAATAATCACGACATTATACGCTCTTTTTCGTCATGACTAAAAGGCATCTTAAACAAAGAGTCAAATCTACTACTATTTTAGTAGGTTTTTTGTGCCTTAATTTGAGTGATATTTATTTTTGTGTAGAGATGCTAATATATCCATACAAAAATACATATATTTACTACTAATAAACGCGAATTCTGACATTTGTTACTATTTTCATCAACGTGACGAGGCACCGAAAGCGTCATCAAGTAACTAAATTTAAATGGGTAGTTATCTGTTCCTCTCACACACAATTTCTCAATTTACATTGAAAACAACGATTTAATATTTGACGTGACCATGACTTTGTATAACATGACCCACAAAAAACTTTCAAATTCAACAATTTAATTACCCATAACAATATTAGAGACAACTGACTCGTTTAGAGCTTTCACAGAAGCTATTAAGAGATTGGCCAATTTCAGGAACTAAACAAGGAGATGCCACTAGACTACTTTCTGTAGAGATATGTGGCATCATTGGTCTATGCGGACAAAATAACATCGATTTCAGCTTTGAATATAAACAACTTGCGCTCTATTTGTTAGATGTTGTCTTGAATAATAAATTTTTTCAGACGAGTTGGAGATCGCCATATGCTCGATAAAATTTGTTGTCAATAATACCATTTAATGGTCTATAGAAAGAAAACTTAGTTCAGTTAATTTATTTGTATATGCTTTATTTAAATTTAAAATTCTACACCTCTTAAAAATACGCCCTTTATATAATTTATATAAATTAATCTAAACATCCCACATAACATTACCCTAAATAATATATTCATAAAAACTATATTTTTTTGTTTACAGTTACTTTTACGTAGAATGCTACCCAGCTTCCATACTTTAATGAGGTGCTCTTCGAGCGTTTTACAATCCACAACAGGATCCATGACTGGTGGCGTACCAGTGCCTTTCAACAGTAACATAAATGATGATCCCAACACAGCTACTTGCTCAGGTCGAGGCGATTGCCTCAATGGCACCTGCCTATGCGAAATACGTTACTCAGGCGATGAGTGTAGTGGTTTCAATTTCCCATATTACGTAGGCATATCGGGCGTTTTTTATTTAGTCGCTCTCGTATCTGTTATTCAATTATTAATATGCATCGTAGCCGAATATCAGCGTCTAAAGCAACCATCTGTGCTGCGGGCGTGTCGTTTGACTACGCAAAAAGTTTTATATTTTATGGTGTTCGTGGCGGCGTCCTTGCGTGGGGCATATTTTACAACGCCGGTATGTTGTTTCTTATATGAAAGTAATTTATAAATTTATTAAAATTATTCTTCTATCTGTGATATAGCTTGATCTACAGCCACAATGGGCGGTAACATTAATGTCTGCATATTATCCACTTTTAATGACTTGTGCGTCGCTGATCGTTTGCATGTGGGCAGAAGTAAGTAAATCATCACAAAAATATTTATGGATGGGTAATACATATACTCTCAGCAAAAGACTGAATTGTTAATCATAGCTTCATTTTTAAGACAGTTTAAAATCTTAATAATTGTTTTTTTTAATATGATACTCTGCAACAGTAAAGATAAATTCAAAATATTTGAATATGCTATTTCTGTGCTACGAAAAAGATTAATAATTTTTAAGCAAATAGTGAGAAAAATGACAACTACAACAATTTAGTTTTTACTAATAGAATTTTTTGAATGCTTTTATGTATACCTGTGAAATTTGTTATTGTCTATGAGTCTATGATTTAAATTTAACAGGGTTCAAATTGAACCAAAAAAGTTTTAAAAAAATTATTTTCAACGACCATCGATAAAGGTTCTTAATAGTCCGAAGCAAAAAATCAGTCAGCCAAAAAATTCAGTCTCGCCTGTGCAAATCGTGGGGTGACATTAGCATGACTTTCTTGGTATTACGTTTCTAGATAAGGTTCTATACACAAGAAAGAATAATATAAAAGCATGCAACAAATAATGCATCTACAAACAGAATAGTATTGAAATTTAACAATTAAAAATAAAATATAATTAATTAATTCAATTATTCTACAACTGGTTTATGATTTCGTTCTAATATAACATGGCAAGTGGATTTTTTAATATAAAATTTCACAACAAATTAACAAAACTTGCGAAAATGTGCGAACTTAAAAATCAAGTACGGCTTTGGGTCAGTTAGTTAAGGAGCGCTGACTCTGAGCTTCAAATTTGGCAGAGCATGAGTTCGATTCCTGGTACTTGCAGTCTCAAAAAATTATTTACGAATAATTAAATACAAGAATTATTTCCAAGATCACTGCTATTGGGTATTTGACAATACTCGAAATACTCGTTGTTATAGTTCACTACTTTTCGAAAAACCTCTTTATGTAAATCAAGAATTAAATATTTTTTTATAGTTATAATTTATTATTTGCTCCATTTCTATTTTTAATTATAAATTTATTTTTATCATAGATTGTCATAGTTTTGCTAAATTTTAAAGTAACCTTTATAACTATTTTTTTTTTCAAAAAGTAATTCCTCGAATGTCTGTACAAATAGATAATCGATTGCAAAGTGTTTATAATGCGAAAGGCACTTATGGCAGCCAATATATGAAGATACTACAAATTCTATTCAAAAATATCTTCATCTTGCACAAGTTAGACCACGAATAATTAAAAGTAGTATTAAAAAATACGTTTCTCTTTACTAATCTTAATCGTCATAGCTATACAGTCCATTTAGAACCTAAGCTTGTTTCCCAACATCATACCACTCTTCTCTTTGCGTTTGCGTTCTTTAGCTGATCAATGAAGATTTTGATTAATATTTTGTAAATTCTTGCATATTTATTCTAATCCTCTACCATATTCATGAATTTGCGTTGACTGTTTTTAAACACGGCATCATCACCATCAGCATCGGTGTGTCAATTGAAAGAGTGTGATGAAAATTTAACTAAATTTAAATGAAATTTTTATTTATTTTTTTTTAATATTTGTGCTGTTAGCCGATAATAAATCTACTTAATTGATAAAATGATTACCTCACTACAAACACCTATTTTTAAAAATTTCTGAACACATCTGTACTTCTTTTTTTAGTTCCTTGTACTTTACAATTCTTAATTGTATATTACGATTTATGTATTCATTGTTCGATCACAGACTGAATATATCGCTTCGCTCATTGATCCACCCATTAAGTGAGCGATCTACCTCTTTTTTTTTACAGGACCGAAATGAATCAGTTATGTATCAGAAACTAATTTCATTAGTCTGCTTTTTACGCTAAGTTCCTCAATCACAAAAAAGCAATCAATATAATTTTAGACACTCTAATTTATCTAGGTATTTTAGATAGAGTACACCAATCAATATTTTGTAGATCTATTAATAGTGCTAACTTTTCGTAGTTTTGTAATAGCATATTTCTGTGTTTGTTATGAGAGAACCTAATGAATACCATTTGTCAACTACATCAAAACTTGCATTCATTAACACACATGGTTGATCAAAGTGATAATTTTCCACATCAGTAGGATATGTTAAGTTTTACTTTTCCTCGTTAAATCACATTATTAATGTTTCATAAGAAAATCCTGAACATAGACCTTATTTCTCTTTTCTAATATTAAGATGTGTACTTTACAAAGTTTTCATAAATATAGAAGATATAAAAAGGTGAATCGTTACATTTTTTTTTTAAATTGTTTATTGTTATTTTTATTTACTTCCATGGAATACTTAAGGATGTTGAAACTACTGAGCTGTTCGGTTTCGTGTTTTTTTTTTCGTGTTATTTTGTATATAGAATTAGACGATTAAAGTGTTACCAAATATACACAGGTATGTCTCTCAAACTGATATTGTGAACAACGTAAAATTTATACGAATGACAGCTGTTTATATCATTAACAAGCTACCATAAGTATTTGTCTCTAAGTTTTGTAGAACTATGGCTGGAAAATCACAACCATCTATTGTTCGTGAGCTCAACCACCTCAAAGTGAATAAAATGTTTATGTATCGTAACATATATCGTTATAATTGTACAGGCAGCGCCGCCAAACGTTATGGTGGCAACATGACCATAATGATCGTGTTAACTTAACTGAACGCACTGCCGAAAATTGGAGACTACGTATGACCACCCGGAGTAATTTTCCTTGTAATGTAAGCCGTTGGCAAGCAAACATTTCGATTGTAGACCATGGACGTTTAAATAGGACTCGACATCGTCTTATAAAGCTCGTGTGAACCAATAATGTTTAAAAAAATCATGTTTCACACTTCATTTCGTCCATACAATAGCTTTCGAGTTCGCCAAATGCAAATCTGATGGACTATATTATCTGGATTATTTTGGTGAGCAAGATGAGGAGTAAAAAATATAACAGTATGGATGCGCTAAAGAAGCCATTGTTTAAGAATGGGCCAAAATACTGGAAGGTCACATTCATAAAGCATGCAACTCATTCTTTAACCGTTTGAAGACCATAGTTAAGGCAAAAGGTGGTCTTTATCCACAACGAGCTAGAGTGAAAGGATTCTGAAATTTTGATTATTTCCACAAATATTTCTTATTTGAGTCAATAAAAAATAATTTCACACAAAAAAGATATGGTCGCTTAGGTAACACTTCAATCGGCCGTATACCAGCAAACGCTCAAACAGTGATGTTAAAAAGTTTTCGACCACCTGTTTGTGCAGAAATCAAATGCTCGCTTGCAAGATAACTTGAACACTAAAATTCTCGAAGATTCGAACAGTTCGAATTGTGTTCGAAACTATAGTTTGCAATTATTCATTCATTCATTATTCATGGTCAATTGATATAGAATATCCAACATTCTACGACATAGTTTTTCGCTTATTACATAGATTATGTTATTATAATTACTAACAGTTGTACTGTTTTAAAACTGTTACTAACATTATAAAATTTATAAATTTTAATTTACAAAAAAAATTAATCTTACTGTCTAAAAAATACCTACGCAATGAGCACTTACGTTATCACTACTATTAATTAATATCCGTTGAGTGCAGACGCACCTAAAATAAGTGCAAATTTCCGTACACGTTTCTAAAAGTAAGTTCACTTGATGTATGGCATTATTTTTATTATTTATTAATTTATACACAAGTCGTATCTTTATTTACTATATTTTTTGTTTTTCGTTGTATTTTAAATAACGACATCGCATATCAGCAATAAAAGCATTCTGTAATTATATATGTAATTACAACTAAATTTTTTTGCAGTTAATGGTAGTGAAGTTGTTTATATTATAATATAAATACAAATGCCTATTGCTCAGTAGTGGGACGTGAGAGGGAAGGAGAAGTGGACTGTTGTCCGAGGCGCAATGGTTCAAATGGTGTCAAAATCTTCTGACATTTTTTTATTCAATAATATTAAAAAATATCTTAAGTAAATTATTTTGTTTATGAGAAATCACTTCGCACTACCACCATTTCCTTAGATGGTTATCAATTTTATGTTTATCTATAAGTATTTTTCTAATTCAGTTAAAAACACAAACGACAACTTATAAATTTAATTATTAATTAATATTAATTAATTATTATTGATTATTATTTAGTTTTAGTGGCGGCTAAGTTTCCAGTTCTGTCCAAGTAGTATGTAAGCGCTACACACCTGGCCATAAGGTTCTGTAATTATGTTATGTTTTTATTTTTTTTTTAATCAAACTTGTATTATTTTGTAAGGCTTTTATCTGTTATACCAGTGAAATTGCTTAATTTATGGATTACAGTACTGGAATCTCTTAATTTCGCCAATAATTAAAGATAACATACGTTGTCTCCTGCAGTCTCTTAATCTCCTACTTCACTTTAGGCTCCGCTATACCAGTTAAAAGGATGCTTAATTTCTCAACTTTGGTGCTTATTGGTCAACTATTTGTTCGGACCGCCACGAACATTTTAGCCCGTCGTTTTCAATAAATTCTAAATAGGTCATGCTTGTTTGGATTTTTTGCGTCTTAAAGATTTTCGATTATGTTTTCCTTCTCCAAAAAAAAATCGTTTAGAATGTGCTTTTGGATTGCTTTTTTTAATGAGTTCAGTATTTGTTTCTTTGCTGAAGATGGCTGAAGATGTCACAAAATAATGAGATTGCGCACTGATTACAATGTTTTGCGATTAGTTGCCGACTTTCTTGATAGCAAATACTTTAGTTTAATTTAGCTTAAAAGTTGAACAAATCTTTTAAAGGTCCTGTATATACACATGGATTCCTACACCCACCCCTATGCCATCTTTGATGCGCCCATTAAAACAATATGCTTTCATTTCAATGTGCTTAATTCTTCTTCCTATTAATGTCTAGGTAGAATGATTGCATTAAAGGATTTCGGTATTACATATAATATCTATTACTGTCTTGAGACGATACCTCTGCTACCGTCTCAACAACATAAAATCGACTGATATAAAGCAATGCATTTTTAGTCTGGAAAAGAAGATGAGACTTTTAATTAAGTTCTCATCTGAAACTAGCTACTTCTTAACAAACTCATTTAGAGTTTAGAGAATTTATGGAGCAGTATAAAAGATTTGTTCAGGCAACAGTACTATCCATGACTGGAATTCTAAATACCCATTATATATATAATCTATTAATTTATAATTAATTATAGACTCCAATTTTTTTTTATAGGAGTTTATTAATTATTTTTAAAGTTATTAATGTATTTAATTAATTATAAAGTCATTATTTTTCGTTAGCTGAAGTGCTCTATTAGTTTTATAGTTTGAATCTTTATAATTTATATTCTCTTAAATTTTAATTAATATTCTAAAGTACTGCGTTTCGCAATCGTCCCTTGTGATGAGATGCAGATTTTTATAACTATAAAGAAATATTTATTAAAGAAATATATTTAATTTTATATGGGTAAGTGGAACTTATCTTTTGTTATTATTAATCGATTAGATTTCCTTTGTTTTTCATTCTGCGTACCATAGAAACGTTTAGCAGTAAGCAGATTAAAAGTATACTATTTAATTAGTATAATTCCGAAAGTCATTGATGACAATCAACTTCGTTTCTTCTCATGATAAAAAATTTTTTTATTTAAAAGTAAACTTTAGTGAAAATTTATCATTTGAACAGTTACACTACTAACGTTTAGAATCATTTTTTGAGTGAATAGATCATTAACTATTATTATTAAAAGTATATCGAAATTTATGAAATTTGTTTGTTGAAAGATATGAAAGTAACTATTATACGTTTTCTTTAAACGTTTTGTAATTTCTGTAAGTAAATCTGGAAACCTTTGTAACAAACGATAAATCCTTATATCTACAACTAAATAAGAATTATTACAGTGTATTATGGTGGATGATTTTTATAAGTTGCAGAAAATCCAGAATAATCATCAGCAAAATATACAAATTAAGTAAATTAATATTGGCTGCGTGGTTTAAATGTTAGTAGTAGTTGAAGAGAAATAGTTAAATTTGTTTAAAATAAATATTTTTCAATTAATTTCTAAATCTATAACAACGAATGGTGTTTTTAAAATGAATTAGTCGATCCAGATATATATAGGTAGAACTAAGAACTAGAAACACTAGGACTACGTCTCTCCGAATGAATACAAAAATCATTTCAACATTTATGATTAAGAGAAATTGTACTGAATATTTTACTCAATCATTAAACATTATATTAGTTGCAGAAGATAAAAAGTGCAGTTACAAATCTTAAAAATGTATGGAGGGTTACTGGAATACAAAATTGTCTAAAAAATTTAAAAATGTTCACACGTCTGTCAAGTCTTTTTTATTTCATTTTATAAAGTAATTGCATATAAAAATGGCAAAAATCCAATTTTCACAAATAAAGTCAAATGAAGACTATCAAAAAAGAGTAGATCTTGCACCTAATAAAGGAAAAACATAAATAAAGATATACATCATAGTTAACGCTAAGATTCTGTTTTATTTTTGTGCGAAAAACACTGCTTTCAAGTCAGGTACTTTTGTATGAAAAAAAAGCCTGAACCTTAACGAATGCCATCTTCCATAACCAGTTTTCTTAACAAATGTTTTTGAGATATCCTGAAAATCTATTGGCCAAAAACCGTTTACAACACACATTTATGGTGCACAATAAGCAACAACCTATTCAAAACGACTTCATGACCACAAGAATCCACAAGGCAGACGAAACCATGAACTGCCCTGTGGAAAGTATTTCACAGAAGAACAGAAAAATTTTACAATATGAATTTTTTGTTGAAACCCTTAATTAATTAATTTAATTGGTTTATAAGAAACTATGGTGCCGCATTTGCATTAATTATAATTATTACACACAGTTTCATTGATTGACAATTCGGTTCCTCTGAGATGACAAAAGTTCTTAACTTTTATGTAATTGTTTTTTTCCCAAATACTTTCAAACTTAGTAGAGTTATTATATGACTTATATGACCCTAAGTTTTTATATAGCGCATTTAATTTATATTAAAACTATATTACTTTTTAATTATTTTATGTGTACAAACTATTCAATGTTATCATCGTTAAGCAGAATTTAATAATTTTTTTTAATTAATTACAAAGCCTAAAATCTTATGATTAAAGAAGTGATCACTAGTTGTCAGAGTTTTCAACGCGGATATTGTATATTAAATTCCGTTAAATAAATTATGATTTCTAGTATATTGTTTTTAATAGTAAGATCTTTCAATAGACTAATAGCGTTATAATTTATTTTATATTGTTGAAATAGTATAAAACATAATTTTTTATTTAAATAGATCGCCTGTGTCTAGCACATGAGTTCTAACATTTTTCTTTACTTCTCAAATATCTTTGTGTTATATATTGTGATAACAAATATAAATTGTTATTAACTTGACTGATTTACATCTATATTTATTTGTAATTTTACATTTTCTTTAACAGATATTCCATTTGCGTGATATACGTTGGGAAAAGTCGCAGTTTTTGTCAAAGAGCTTTCTTGGCTTTATAGCATTTAATTTCTTTTTGTATAGTTTGTTTGGTGTTGAGGTTTTCTCATCACTAATCAATGCTGAACGCCAAACATATGCACACATTTTTAATGGTTGTTACGCTGTACTCCTTCTCATAGTTGTCATTTTCTTCCTGATATATGGAGTGGAGGTATTCTTTAAAATACGTGGAGGTTTTGTGTACGATCAAACGGGCAAAATTCTTGGTCCAAGTGAAGCGATTGTAAATGCATCACAGCTACATCAATCGCGTTTTGGACTGCTAAGCCAAGCAATTATGCTTATAGTTATTGTTGGATTCCTAACCTCTGAAACTTTGGGTGATTTTTGGAAAACAAAGTAAGTAAACAATTGTATTATGAATAAATACAATAAATTATATTAATTGTTATATTTGCAAATAACTTCATATATTTATATATATATGTATTTTACAGAGTTCCTGTCTATTCCCGTAATTGGCATGATATTGTCTTTCGTATTGTTGAAATAGGAGTTGCTGTTTGGTTTCCTTGTTGTTTGTGGAATTCTATGGCACCGGAGCAGTTATGGATATTAAATCCACGTAAATTATTGTCAAGACAAATCGATCCATCAATACCCACTTTATCAGCCGATAGCAAAACTCTTTCACCTGAAGAAGGGCAATCGTTTTTAGCGAAAAAAGACTGTTGGATTTGTTACGATAATGATAAACCAGAACCACTGATTCAACCCTGCCGATGCACTGGTGATGTTAGTTCCGTACATCACGAATGCCTAAAACGTTGGCTTGTGGAAAGTTGTAGTACTAGTGATGCACAATTATCTTGTAAAGTCTGTGGTTTTCCATACGAAATTGAGAAAACTAAAAAGTGAGTAAAAATAATTATATATATATTTGTGTTATTGTATACAAATTCAGAGATTAAAATTAGATGTTAAGATTAAGATTAAAATTAAATTGTTGAAGTAAACAATACTATGAACGTTTGGGTTGAATGACCCAAAAAAAAACACCGTTTAAAAAAAAATATCGTAGATAACATAGAAATCATAGAATAACATAGAATTTTTCTTTTTATATTAAATGATATTAATAGATAAATTAAAAGACATTTAAATAATAAAAATCTCCATCATATACTTCACAGGTTCTGTACAAAAGATAATTTAATGTACTTTATCCGGTCTAGAATTTTAAATATGCAACTTTTATATTTTCAAATTACACCTAATAATATGAAGCATTATATGTTAATATCCCGAAACAAAATAAAAACAAATGTAAATAATAACTAAACTAATTTGCAGAGATATATCGTTTCAAAAAACATACAGTACCAATGCATATAGTTGACTTGCTAAACCACGCATATGACTACCCCTAAGTACACGTACAAAAGTACTAGATTAACATAAGTGATTAAATTTGCTCACCATTCACTGACCAATACAATTGCTATACTGACAGAGCACAGTGCAGTGAGCAAATGTGCTAACTAGTTAGGGGTTCCTTCGAATGAGGCTTACTATTTTAGCTGTGGATCAGAGAAGAAAGAAAAATTAGTGCAAATTGTTTATTTGCACTGGCACTGTCCAACAGTCTTTGTCTGATGTTTCTAGTATAGGTTTCAAAGACATTGCCGGTCTTACTAAGAAGCCAACGAATGCTTTATTGATCCGAAATAGCAATATCTTTAAATAAATTTCTTAGAATAACTAGCGTGCATTTAAAATTGTGATAAAACAGTAGATCTTAGGACTTTTAGAACCTAAATAAATCGTGTTGTTGTTATTGTAACCCGCAAAGACCAGCTTGTAAAGTCTTTTTGAGAGGTTTCGAGCGGCCCTTGCTCATCGCTGACAACTAGTGACTCCAAAACGTAGACACGGCCGTTCTTTGAACCTGTCGTTTTGCGAGATTTACTGCCACTTAAAGTTACCATATAACTGACTTCACAAAAATTAATTATATATATACTTAATAAAATCCAATCTGATTTTAAATAAATATGCGTAACTCTATATACCATAAATAGGAATATGGTATCTACCGTCTTAGTGCAAATGAAGTACACGTATTTAAGTTATATTACCGATTAGTTAATTTAGTAAAACAAAGTCTAATACTGGATGCACACGAGAGTTTTGTTTGTAATTTGAGATTTTTTTTTCTTTTTTTCTTCTTTTTATTATTTTTTATATTTTTTTTTTTTATTTTTTATTTTTATTTTTTTTTTATTAACGATTCTTAAAATATAAACAAAAATCGTTTTAATATTACGCCTAGTACAAATAACAAATAAGAAGTACTAATTAGCAATTTGATTGGAATATTTAAAGTAAAAACGAAGCTACTCGCTGTCCATTAGGTTTGCCATTGTTTTCCTTTTTAGCCATTTAGGTAGGGCAACCGCCTGGAGAAGACTGGATGCTGTAACGTTGACATGTCTTTTCAAACGCTGTTTGTAAACAACGGCACACCTTTAAGCCATGTCGTCGACTGTTAGCATGTCAATATCACGGTGGAGATTTCTGTTGATTCTGTTGATGTCACATAGTACTTCATTTTGAAAACACTGGATAGTTGCAATGTGTTTCTTGCTGGCACAACCCCATAATTGTATGCCAGACGTCCAAGCCGGCTTCAGTATTTGTTTATAAACCATTAGTCTGTTACAGATTGCTAGTTTAGAGCGCCTTTCAAAAAGGTGAAAAACTATGTTTAGTTTTAGGTTAAGCTCCTCCCGTTTTTTCTTAACATGCGCTTTCCAGCGCAGCTTGGCGTATAGTTTCTCAATGAGATGTGATTTGAGATGTCAAAAATTTTTATTTTACATTCAAAGCAACAACAATTAACAGTTAAAATTACAAACAAAATTCATGTGTGAATCCAGTATAAGAAATAAAGTTTAAATACATAAACAGGGTATGGTTCACACAATATTGCTTATAAATATTATGTATTGCATGTTGTATAATATTATGTGTAATTAATAAATATATAACACTTACTAATATGATTGAAATTTTTTTTTATTTTTGTAGACTTGACTGGGAAAAGGGCTTTACGATACAACATTGGTCGAAAACTGTAATACTTATAACGCTTATGTGCATTGCCGGCGCTAGTGCATGGGTCGTTATTCAATTATATGTCGATCCATTAGTAAGAGTATTAACAGTTGGTGTAGCCGTACTTGTTGGATATGTTTGTATTAAATGCCTTGGTGAAAATACCGTAGTTGCATATCAACGAGCCAAAGTCAGTTCCATAAATATTGTCACAAAAACAGAAATGGAAAAGTTACATACGATATGTGAGGATGTTGGTACCCGAACAAGCTCAACAGCTGGCACAAGCCATTCACAACAATGATTAGCGTAATTTTATTGGATTCACAAGAGTACATAAGAAGCCATCGGTAGAAAATTAGCGTGACCATAATGGTTCGTATAATTGCCTCTTACACTTTTTTTGAGTGAGATACAACCAACTTCATTGACACAATTGCTTCCAGCACCACCGAATACGAGCGTTAATATTTGTAATTTGTGCATCAATTCTTCGATTTTGTACCCGATGCTGTGGTGATCGTATCAACGTCTCTGCCACGAATAATATTGCAAAGGAAATTTAAATTTATTAATTTATTAATATACGTATTTCATAATTGCTATCATATTGTTTTAATTACTTTCAATTATATTTATTATTATTAAATATGGACTGCATATATACAGATATAATACGTACATGTAAGCAATTACTGACATTGGCAAAAGTATTTACGCATTCAAATGTTGTATGTAGTTTAAATTAATTTAAAAATATATGATCGGCTTATTTGTTTATTTGTAGATTCAAATATTGTATGTAAGCAAACGATAAAAAGTAAAAATATTTTTAAATTAAAAATAATTGGCCATATTTATATTCTAAACATGTACATAACCAACTCCACTTAATGGCTTTAATTTTTTTTATTTTGTCTTAATAAGACGTGTCTCCTCTTATTTTAAATGATCCCATTTACTGTATATTAATAAATATTTTATATTTAAAGATAAACAAAAAACAATTTGTTCTGCAAGGAACACAATATATGATATTTCTTAAATCTATTCTTTCCTTAAGGCAATATTATTATTTTAGTTCAATTAATTGTTCTACATTGTAGTTTATACTAAGCATAATTGATTAGACTAACTTATTAATATTAGCATTTTAGCAAAGTCAATTTAATATTAGATTAAAAAAAAACTATTACTCATTTGTACTTTTGCTATGCCAAAAATCTATTTAATATTTTCGAATACATATTAAATTGTAAAAAATTTATAGTTATTTTTTGGTTGTTGAAATTTTCCGTCAAATGCAACCAAATTTATTTAAGAGCATATGTAATATATAAGTCTCCTAAAGCAAAACTAAATTAAATACCAGAAGAATATTAATTATATCGAACCTTAAATAATTGCTTATATGTATTTTAATTAAGTATATGATATTTATATATAAATATGTATTAAGGAATAATTATATGAGATATTAGTATATAAGAATAATAAAGCAGCAAATAATATGCAAATATTTAACGACTATGTTATCAATAACTGAATCTAAATAAAAAAGAAATAGGTTCCTGGGGGTATACACTTGTCAAATATTAAATAAACAAAGCATTTCAATTAGTAACTAAGCATAAATACAGTAGTCTTGTATTTAATGTTCGTAATTACAGTTGAATGTAGTTGCGTTAAACAGGCTCACATTAAGACATAAATTCATTTAATAAAAATTTAATATGTTTCTTTAATTACTAATATACTTAGTAGCTCAAAGCTCGAGTTAAGTCAATTCCTAAAATTTAGCACTAATCGAAAAGATATATCAAAAAATCAATTTCTTTTAATTTCCCGCTATTTATTTTTCATTAACCCAGTTTTAATTAGTCTTAAATTGCACGTTTAATTTTAAAGTTATTATTAAACCTTTAAACTTAAGTACAATTATTTTTAATCTTATTAAATTTATTATTTTTATATTATTTATTAATGCATTAATTATTATTATATAATTAGTATTACATAAATTATTATAATATAATTAGTATTATATTAATTATTATTATGTAATTAATATTATATTAATTATTATTATGTAATTAATATTATATTAATTATTATTATTGTTATAATATTGATATTGATATATTAATAATAATTATAGAATTATTATAACAATTATTATCGAATTATTATAATAATTTTTATTATACAATTATTATAATAATTATTATTATAGAATTATTATGATAATTATTATTGTTATAATATTGATATTGATATATTAATAATGATTATTATAGAATTATTATAACAATTATTATTGAATTATTATAATAATTTTTATTATAGAATTATTATAATAACTATTATTATAGAATTATTATGATAATTATTATAATAATTATTATAGAATTATTATAATAATTATTATTATAGAATTATTATAATAATTATTATTATAGAATTTTTAAAATAATTATTATTATAGGATTATTACAATAATTATTATTATAGAATTATTATAATAATTATTATTATAGAATTATTATAATATTTATTATTATACAACTATTATAATATTTATTTTTATTGAATTATAATAATAATTATCACTGTAGAACTATTATAATAATTGTTATTATGGAATTATAATAATAATTATTATTATGAAATAATAATAATAAATATTATCATAGTATTATAATAATGTCAATATGATAATAATGATAAGTATGATAACAATAATTATTATTGAAGTATTATTATAATAATTATTAAATTGATTATAATTACTTCGTTATATTAGTTGCTATTATATATCAGTGATTATAATATTAATTATAATAATATTAAGTATTATTGTATTAATTGTTATTATATTAGTTCTTATTGTATACGTTATTATCATATGAATTGTTATTAAATTAATTGCAATCGTGTTAATTATTATTTTACTTATTATTTTAATTTTTAATTTATTAATTATTATTAAAATTATTTTAATTTTTTATATATTAATCATTATTATATTTTTTATGTTATTTTTATTACATTAATTTTTGTATTATTTATTATTATTTTAATTATAATTGTGTAAACTATTATCGTTTTAGTTATTATATTATTAATATTATAGATATAACATTTATTATTATTAGTTTATTATTTATTATATTTTTAATAATTATTGTTTAAAATATATTATTTTTATATTATTTTTATTTTATTTTTATTTTATTTTTATTTCATTCTTATAGTGTTAATTATTATTACATTTATTTTATTATATTGAATATAAATTTTTTTCACATCTACTTTTATGTTTCACATTATCTTAAAGTATTGACAGACAGGATCATAAATCATTATTACGTATCTGAAGAATCATTTAATAGCAAATTTAAGAGATTTGAATTATCATTAGTGATCTTTAAATAATGAAATTTAATCACAATTTATTACTTCTTAAGATTTTCATTACTAGTAATGCTGAAATGAAGCAAATTTAAAAACTGAAACATTACAGATCTAGGCAATGTTGTCGTTATTAATAAAATGATTAGTTTTTAATTAAATAACCAAAACTTGTTTAATAAAATAACCGTTTGTTTATTTTAAATCGAAATGCATAAAATTAATTTTCAAGCGTAATTCTTAACAGCCTCTTCTTGGTTTTTAAATGATCAATTAATCGCGTTTAATGATAATTTATACTCCCGACCAAAATTATTTTGAACCAATTAGCTGAATGTATATATTTGCTATCATCAATAGATATAAATATCAAGTACGGAAAAATTCTCTTAGTTTTAAATTTCACATATTAATTGCATATCAAAATTGTTTTGACAAAAATCAATTGATTTCTTTCAGTTGTCAATTCAGTTCTGAAATTTATTTTAATATTCAGAATGTATGCATTTTTGATAATAGTATGTATACATTGTATATATAACTTTCAATATTGTTACACTTATTTATCATATTAATTCAATTATTAGAAAATAATATTGCTTGAAAAACAAATAAAAAAAATAATATACATATTATATAGATTAAAAAAAAAAATTGGTATTGATTTAAGTTTTTATGTTTAATATATTTTTTATTATTTTTATTTATATTTTTATGTATTTATCGTATGCCAAATTTATTATATATATTAGTAAAATGAATGCTTCTCTCTTTGAATTGTATATAATTAAATTATTACCAGAAGTCCTGATAGCGATACTTAATTCATATTTTTAAATTACGCATAAATATGAAATATGTTGCAGTAAAATTTTTAAAAATGTTAAATGTAAAAAATGTTACCATTAGAGTGGTGGGGTTCGTCATTTCAATAAATAAATAAGATTATTTGCATAAATATAATTCAACAAAATGATAAAATTTCAAGAAAAAAAAACGGCTTTGTAGTGTCCACATATACTAACCAAAATAATTAGTAAGAGTATTAGTAGTGGTAAAATAATTTAACTAATTATTAAATATTAAGTGCATGCATTTTATAATTACTAATATAATTATAACATTACTAACATAAAAATTATATCTCAGTTTTATACAATATGCGAAAAAAAAATTGTTTTAAATTTAAACATAATTATATATATATATATATATATAAAAGCTCAAACATGTATAAAATGTTTAATGAATACTGAATAAATAAACAAATATATATTTATTACAATTATTTTTAAAGTAGAAATAAATTACATACTGATGTTTCTTTTAACGTAATATCCATATATTTAATCTCATCATAGGTGTTTCTCATAAAGAGATAAGGATTTTATATTCAGTTTATAGAATGATGAAAAGTGGTACATTCCCAATCTTTTTTGGGTTTATATTTATGCATTTCATTCTGCAATAGTTCTAATAGTTGGTGTAACAATGACGTCATATTTGCCACAAATTATAATTCCAGATGATTGTTTTTGCATCTAAGATGTTACACCCAGATTGCTTTAGGGTAAAAGGTAGGTAGTGAAAGGTAGTCGACTATCAGTATGCATAGCAGTAGTGAGAGAGCACGACCTTAAAGGCAGCACCGTACAATATTGATGCTATCAGTAGTGGTTTGTACTGTAGCTTGCAGAAATCTGTCTATGTATACAAGCAATTGTAAACGAATTAATGTATTTTAAAGTCAAGCTTCCAAGTATGGATACATTCGAAATGTGATGTGAAAGTTCGTTTATCATCCATGATATCATGTAAAACAATAAATCTTTAAATTGAAAGGCATTACGATTTTGCTGAAAATGGTGAAGCGGATATGCTTTTGGAGTAGGCGAACTGAATGGAATAGAGAGCCACAGTGCTCTTATTTGTTACATATATAATTGTCGATCACACTTATAACTGTAATCTATCCTAAGGAAAGCAAGAGTTTAATTGGTCTATAGGACTTTAGTTAGTTGAGGAATTTATTCTCTTATTTAAAAAAAAAACCATAATATTTACTCCTCAATTATTCCTAAATTACAGGATATCAATGGATCAAGAAATAGAGCCTGATCAACGGATCAAGAATGACATCGATGAATTTTTGTAGTAGCAGGAAAGATGTCCTACACTTTTTGGATATCTTTGGGATGCATACATCACTTGTTCTCTCACAATGGCTGCGCCAAGTGAGATCCATTTTGACCTATATAAATTTCTCCTAGCTTATAGCGCTTTTTGTCCTATTGAATGAGTTCCTCACCTATTCAGGATTATTAACTAATTGTATATTCCACCAAGGAACTGTGGCAGTTCCAGTATCTGTGTTGTTCTGAAAGGAAGCAACTAATACTTCTTCTAGATGACTAACAGCCACTTCTATCTCCTATCACCTTTACACTTTAAGTGAAGTACTAACCAAATTTTATTCAAATGATTTTTTACCATAAAATAGGTAAGAGTTTCTCATCAATACAACATATTATATAAAATATCATCGAAGTATACCATACATTATTATATAAAACAATATATTTACTATGCAACCATATTACTATTTGCATTAAACTTAGTAGTAATAGAATATGTTTGAAAAATTTCAACTCAAACTAAAAACTAATTTTATTTAGTTGTAGTAAAAATATTTAGAAATTGTTTTCTTATTAAAAAATCAAAATTTTAAGTTATGGCATTTAAATCCCTTGAACACAAAATACGGAATGGATCATGTCCAAGTGTTCTCTCTGCCGAAAGTGGTGAAGAGGTGAACAATCTTCCGCTTGGTTTTGGTGACAAGGACTGGATTGAACTTTTTCTAGACTGGAAACGTGAAGAATCGGGAAGCGATTTTATGAGATTCATACATAGCAAGTTTCAATTCTAAAGCATTTTAAAATTTCTTTTGTAGTTTATTTTACAAACATTTTGCTATAGGTTTTCTACATGATGAAAAGGGAAACACAGATCTTCTACAACCACAATCAATAATAATCTGTATGCTTATGACAATAGCATTTTTACTTGTTTGCTTTGTGGTGACCCTGGTATTCTATGTATTATGCATGATTGTTCAAAACGTCATCATGTCGCTGTGTGGTGGTCGTTCATCAAATTCGAAGTGTGTTGCAAAGAGCAAATCGATCTGCCAAAAACCAATTCGTTGTGTTAAAAATAAAACGCCGGAGAATAAAAAAGCTGGTCCTTGTGCTAAAAATCAAAAACCAGATTGTAATAAAACAGTGCCTTGTGCTAAAAACCAAAAACCAGACTGTAACAAAGCAGAGCCTTGTGCTAAAAACCCAAAACCGGACTGTAACAAAGCAGAGCCTTGTGCTAAAAACCGAAAACCGGACTGTAACAAAGCAGAGCCTTGTGTTAAAACCCCGGACTGCAAAAAACCTGTTCCCTGTGCAGTAAATCAGAAACCAGACTGTAAGAAACCCGAGCATAATGCAAAAAATCAAAAGCCGGACTGCAATAAACTTGACCCTAGCGTTCTTAAAAGTCAAAAGTCGAATTCCGAAAAAAGTAAGGCCGAGAAACAAAAATCGGAAATAACAAATAACTGCAATCCAAGTAATAAACCAATTCAAGACCCAAAATGTTGTAAGACTGAGAAGAAGAGTCAGGAAACCCAAACTGACCGGCTAAATTGCAAACATAAGTCCGCAACACCAAAGAGTGATAAGCAAGAAAAAAGTTTGGTGACTTTATTTATAAATAAACAAAAAATTGATTGAGATAAACTTTTGTTAATACACACACAGACACCATTCCCTTCCTGAGGGGATTAATAAAAATTAAAATTAATCGTAAAAACTATTTCTTTTATTTAAGACTTTTGAATATATAATTGTAGAGAGTAGTCCAATTGAACTACAACATTGCAAAACGATGTATTTTTTTATTTAAATGGATGATTATTTTAGGTTTTCAATACAATCGGTCTTAGCAAAAACACTGGCTGGTTCTGTGCCAGATCGACAAAATAGTCACATGCTACACGACAGTGATCTTGTGTATCTACACATTAGAAGATAGTTTTAGTATAAAACTAAGAGGTAGACTCCTAGTGCCAAATTTGGTTTATATTATTATATTTTTATATCTGGTTTTTTAATTTTTAATTTATATTCTTAAAGTTAATTAAATCTAAAGCTTGATCTGAGCTGAAATCTATAAGCTCTCTTTTACAAGAGAAAGACCTATATAGTATCATATTACCATATAATATCCCTCACCGAAAAGTCGGGTAGATTTGTATATAGTGACTATAAAAATATGTGGTCATCATCCTTTCGACATCAGCCTTTGTTAGTTGGCCTATATTTTGTGGGATGCTGCAAAATCTACCAGAAACCTGCACTCTTTTTCAAAATTCTGAAATTCCCAAAGGTTTTATTAAATCTATCTAAGTCAATCGACATTCTACTAAAACTTTATTTTATATTATTTTATTGTTATCTGTAGTGTTTAGATAACATTCGCATGGATCCTCTTTAAAGCGTGTACGATTACTTTCAAATAAACTGGCTACTTTCAGGCCTTTGTGTCTGTAGAAACACATTTACCAAACTCTATTTACTACTTCGGTATGAGTTTCCATTGCCTTTAAAACTTTTTTATAGAGAATTGATTCACTGCACGATGTCCAATCTTTTCTATATTTATTACTTTTTTTTTTGCAAAAAAGTAGAACTTTACGCTACACTTTACCATGCTCTTTTTAGAGTTCGCTATGTTTTTAATGAAACACTTCTTCACATCAGGAAAAAGAATGGTGCAAATCCGATTCCTACATATATTTCTACATATAATAAAATAATTTTAAAAATAATAAAGAATATCTAAATAATCCTCTCAAAACCAATTTTATATTGAAATAAAAAAACAATATGTTGGTTTAATGAAAAAATTTGCTATATTTCTTCTTGTTCTTAAATATGCAATATAGTTTTTGACATATATATTAAAGCCTCTTAATATAATAGATTACAGATTTCTTCACTTTGATTATTATTAATTCTTAACACTATTTGAACTACAAAATACAAGTTACGAACAATCAAATTTGTATTGATTATAAATTACAAGCAAACAATGATTGGAATACTGTATCATCTATATTTATAAATAGAGGTATCAGTTTGATCCAGATTGATTGCTTTTAATGTATACTCATTATCAAATAAGAATAGAATAGAGTACATTTGCCGTTTTGATGTTATGTTAATAAATCCGTAATGCTTCCATAAGAGTTCCAATTAAAAAATAATATATATGTTCTAAGTTCTTCTTGTAATTTTTTGATATACTGAAAATTTGTAGTTCCCGATGCGTTAAAGAGTCATCACAAGTTATTGTTGTTTATCTATACAACAGTTCCAATTAAAAAATAATACATATGTTCTAAGTTCTTCTTGTAATTTTTTGATATACTGAAAATTCTTATTCCCGATGCTTTAAAGAGTCATCACAAGTTATTGTTGTTTATCTATAGTTACGCAGGCTTATCTACAAAACAAAAATATATGTATACAAAGGCTATTCCAAAAACTATACAATTTTGGAAGACAGAATTTATTTATTCAAAAAACATAAAAAACTATTATGACCCAATAGCCGAAAAATGTCTTACTCAACATCGCCTAAAGTTGATTGCAACCAAAAAGACAGAAACATAAAATTATTGCCATCTAGCCACCATCTATTAGTTACCCTGAATGAATAGTCTCGATACTAGATTGTGTTTTAAGGAGCATCAAGTGTTATTTGGAGAAACACCTTTATGAGTGATTGGAGTCCTATTACAGATGTGAAGCACAACAAGTCCACACAATAGTAAAAAAAAAATTACTGGCTTCAAACTCTATTCTTCTCCGTATAGCTTATGTATCTACAAGTACGAGTTACATAAAACACGCTGAAGAAATACGGATGTGGTAACCCAAACTCACTACAATGCAATGCAGAAACACACGAACTGACTTAATCAACACCTTTTTAACTCTTTGTTTATGATGATATTCCTGACGAAATACCTTACGATCATTTCAGGAGAAATCATCTGGTCGGACGAGAGGAGAAGTTCAGAGTCTTTTAAAATACTTACTATCATAAACTTTCAATGCTTTTACAACTCGTTGAAAAACATATATCTTGGAGTCCACGTTAACCACTTTGGAGTCAGTATTATCCCCAGTAATAACATCAAATGAAAAAGCAGTCTTCGTATGCCTTTCATAGGCAATAGAAAAGTCGATTCTTGTTTCCACAAACAAAAATACTTCTACACTCTCCTACTTTGTTCTTCCAATTATATGGATTAATACCATATAATTGGAAGAACGATTAGAGATCTTTGGAAATTTTAGAGAAAGGAATTATCAGGAAATTTTTAATATCAATCATAAAAAATGTGAGAGTTCTTTATCTTCTTAATCAAATAATCACCACTCCATAGTTGCTAGAAGACTTCTATCCACTATAGGTTCTTACTTCCTATATTATTTATTTGACAACTTCAGTGTATGCATTAAAAATATTGCTTGCTTTATCGAAACAGAATAATTGTTTTTATTAACATTATTTTTATTAAACATCATAATTTTTATACAATAAATATATTTAAAAATATTACTTACTTAATCTTTAAGTTTTGTATTGACTCCTGCTTAATTATAGATTTTCTTTATAATATTTATTGGCTTTTTTCTTTGTCACCTTGAATTTATGCATGTTTTGGATGTTCTTTAGCGCGATTTGAAAAATTTAAAGTATTTGCAACCCTAAATCGTGTAATAGGCTTACGATGTAAGCAGTCATCTCTACAATAAGAAAGATATAAATAAATCACATATATATTACATGTAGTAAATAGTCAAACCCTAAGTTTGCACACTGATGATATATGTGATGAGAGCAAGTACCCTTGCCACATCTACTGTGGTCATGTATTCTATTGTGCATAATCATACAACCACTTCTGTTGATGGTTTCCAAATATTCAGTAACATTTGGATGCTTTGATAACAAGTTTGTTTTTACAATTGTTCGAGGTTTTGCCATGGGCTTTCCGGTACTAGCAATATCAATCTTAGGAAGCATACATTTCTTTTTGCAGAACGTCTTAAGATTACCATATTCATCCGTTTCTTCGGAATTTATTTGTTTGTGATGTGTTTGCTTAGTACAAGGCCTATAAACGGAATACAAATCATTTAAGCTTATATCCTTAGGTGCTATTCTCTGATTAATCTGGTTCATATTGCCACATTTCGGTCTCATACTACTACCTCCAAACGCTCTTTGATGCGATGTTTGTAACCGTTGACTATTTAAAAGAGTACGTAGTTCATCATTTGGTATTTCTTTTAGTTGATCATATATAACAGGATATTCTCTACGCAACACTCCAAGAATAGCATTTGCGTTCTCGTTTAAACAACGCTTTACAGCTGACTCTTCAGTAATGTTGGTTTTCCCGTCATCTGTTAAATTTTTTCCGGTATCATCTTCAATTTTATTGTAACGATATTTCGCTTCGTAAACGTTTATATGGACCAATCGGGCACTTTCCAAAGCTTTCCAATGATCGTCAAGATAGGGTGAACTAAAGTCATCCTTATAAGTGCTATATTGCATTTTTAAAAACTTTTTGTCTATAACTACTGAAATTTTGAACACTGGTAAACTTGATAACGTATTATATCTTAGAATAATAATAAGTTGTAATTAATGTTTTAAAAAATTTATTTTTCTGCCTACTTTCTTTTCTATATAAATTGTATTAAATATTTTGAATTTAATTAGTATTTTTTATGTTTATTTTAATATTTTAATAGGGTTTTGTAAAGCTTGACAATATCACACCTATTCTGAATCTCATAGGAATGGGAGTTTTTTCCCTTTTCCCAGTTTCCTTCCCTATTCTGAATCATATGGGAATAGGAATTTTTTCCCTTTTCCCAGTTTCTTTCCCTATTCTCAATCATATGGGAATAGGAGTTTTTTCCCTATTTTGCACAAAATCTTTCCCAAGCAAATTGTGTGGGAGATCAGTTAAAAGGAGTTTAATTTAATATGTATGTGAATTAACTTATAATGATCAGATATGAGAATATATTTTAATAAAACTATTATTATAATAAAATTATTATAAAAAGTTTAATATTTTTTATGATCATATTTTTTTTATCAATTAATTTTTCGGATATGTTTTAATAAATTTATTATGATAATATTAATATATTTAAATTTTTTTTAATATATATTATTCAAATTATTATTATAATAACATTATTATTTTAATAAAAGTATTATAATAAATTAAATATAATTAAATTTTTATTTATTTATTTTATCAACTAAGGATTTTTTTCAACAAATTAAAGCATTAACTATTGTTATTTAAAACATGAGATAACGAAAGAAACTCAAATTCTGAAATGAATGGGATTCCTAGAATAAGATAAAATAAACTTTTGCTATTATGTGCAGGTAAAACATTGCTTCTTTTTTATTCTAACATCTGCGCAATTATAAACTATTATTATCATTACTTTTTTATTAATTAAAGAACATTTCTATCCTAATTATAAAAATAAATACGAATTTTGGAGAAGTGCTAAAATTTTAGTTAAAACATTAATAATTTCAATTAATAAATAAAATATCTTACTTCGTTTTATTGTATATAAGAAAATAATAAACTATATACATGTTTAAATAATAAAATAAATAAATAAAATAAAAATATTGTTTATTATTTACTTATAAAATATTCATTATATATATTTATTTGTGATCATTTGTGCAGCAGACAAATAATGCGCTTTTTACATTTAAATCAAGATATGATACCCAATTCTTTTCTTTGTTTTGCTCATTTTCGCACTTTTCGTCATTAGAAATGGTGCCATGGTTGCCAAAATTTAACAAAACAAATTTGAAACTTTTGTTGTTCCCAAAACTGCCGTCTCCCAAACAATTCAGAATAAGGGTGTTGTGTTCTTGGGAATAGCGTGGAAATAGAGAGACTTGTTTCCTGGGAATATTTAGAATAGAGATGAACCGTTGGCATCTTTACCTGCTCCACCAATGGCAATTATTAGGTCTGTTCCACGAGCTACTCATAGTAAAACATGAGCAAAACAGAAGTAAAATTTACACAAAAATATTTGAAAATTTGCTGGTGGAACGCGCTTGTGTATACACAGTGTTCACTCAAAGTTACTATGAGTCAAAGTTACTATAGAACAGACCTATTATATCTGCTATAGAAGTCCACTGTACGTTAATTTCTTCCTCAATTATTATATATGTATGTATATTATTCGCATTTATAATTAGAATAACACGACAATATTTATAACCAGCATTTTCACTATAAATTTCAGTTCTTACCTAACGATTCTAACGCTAGCTATGTTTCATTGTTGTTATTGACTGACCAGTGCGCCATCATTTATTTCATTAAAATATTTTCAAATATAATATCGCCTTTTCCATAATAGATTTTAGTTATTAGTGCGCTTATCGCCCACTATATCTCGTTTTTGTAAATGAGCGTGCGCCATCATATTTTGCATTTAAACAAATTCGCCGTAAAAATGTAACGTAACTTGCAAAATGTCAAAAAATAAAAGTATATGGAATAATTTAACTTTTTTGCATTTAAACTTTAAGTAAGCATATATGTACATATATTAAGAGCAAAATGACGTCGACTAGCGATGTATGGATTGATAGTGTCAATAATAATACTCAGCGACTACAATGGATACATTGTAATCGTTGCTTTGAAATTTATTCAAAAAAAGAACATCAATTTCTGTTATTTGCATGCAATCATATTGCCTGCGAGAATTGTTGTCCCGCTCAATTGGTAACAGAATCCATGCCGACATACAAATGTCCAATTTGTGCAAAAATAGTGCGTGGCAGAATAATAAATAATACTTTGCCACAACAAATAAAGATACTGTTCCATCCAGAGCCCTGGCTAAAGGATCTACCCACAATACGTATTACGGAATTCCAGGAGAGACATCGTGCACACTTCCTTCGCGGTATGGATAGAATTGTCGGTATTAATAGACAAATAATGAATTTATTAAAAACTAATTTTAATTGAAATGTTTGCAGTCACAAAATATAAAAGAATTGCAAGAAAAATTAGAAATCGAGCGCAGTAACGCTAAGTCGATATTCTATGAACTTGAAAGCATGCGCAACGAACGCAGAAAAACAGAAAGCCAAATACGTCAATTAATCAAAAAACGGAAATCCATTGAAGCTGCAGCGTAAGTGATTAAAATCAATACGTTTTATATTGTAATTGTATGATATGTTTTATGTCGTAGATGTCAACCAAAATCACAAAAACCTGCGCACTTTTCAACAGATGGGTCGGTCGCTAGCACCCTATTGCAATGTGGTGATTCAATACGTCCACGATATTTGCGTCCCATTCTAAGTACAACTCAGCAAAGTAAAAATGTACCTCCTTTTGTAACATTAGGCATGCGCATGCCTAACCCCTCTGCAGCGAACGTTATTAGCTTCGCACAAAATTCAGAGCATGCGTTCCATTTGTAAACATTAAAGGTAAGCACTGATCTTCTCAGTGCGAAATTAGTATTTTTCATCATTTTCTTTTTAAATCTTTAAACAGGATAGCATTGCCATTTTCTTCAGTGCCCTTCTGCAATATTCATAGCAAAAACTTTTGGAAACCTTGTGCTGTTCCAGAATTCATATCTTGTATAGTTTTGTATAGTCCTTCAAAAACTGAAACCAATCGAAATCTCTCAGAGTTTGGCAGTCAACGAGATTTATAGTTTTAATATTACCGTACCGTACATATTTTGAAGCCCGTTCATTCATTTATTTCTACCTGTTTTTTGAATTTAAAAATTATTTTATGAATAAATTTTTTTGGTTTTTTTATATTTATGTTATTTAATTATAATTATAATAATAATGATTTCATAATTGTCGAATAATGATTCGAATTCATTTATGTTTTATTTCAAATTCAATTTCAATTGGTTTATTTGCTAATTTTATGCTCTTTTTTAATATATTTTTACGCATTCTTTGTAAATATAAATGAACTAAAATAATTATAGTTTATGTTTATATATGTTTGTAAGAACTCAAACGTAACCAACCGTATAATATGTTAAATTGATAAGAATTTAGTCTTAAAAATCTAAGGGATATGACTAAGAAATTAATTACCTAATATTAAAATTTAATTGTTTATTATTATTATGTTTTTAATTTGCGTGAAAAAAATTTGATTTATTTTTGTTGTATTATACAAATGAATCAAAAGAAATATTCAAATACTTATATTGTTTATAATTTTTAATTGGAGTTAATTAAAATATAGCGCTTTTACAAGCTAATTGGTAAAATTTTTTACTATTGTTAAAAAAAAAAAAATTTTGAAGCAAAACAAGGATTAATTTTACAATAATTTTTATTTCATTTACATTATATATTATAGACTTAAGTCGAAATCGATGAAATATTGTGAAATAAATCGTTTTTTCTTCTTCTTTATTAAAATGATATTTCATTTCAAATACTGAATATATTATTTATAGTTATTTAATAATGATTTCTATATGTAATTTGTGAACGTTGATTAGCTGTAGACTTTTGATCGCTTGTTTCGCTATCCTTGACAATAAAAGTATCGTTATCTCGGTTGTTTTGTGAACACGTGCAAAGAAACTTCTTGAAAACTTTGTGCATTAAATGCTATAAAAAAACACTAAAGTAAGTTTCCAATAAATTAATAAATTGAGTTTTTTGAAAAAAATTTTCAAACAAAATTTTTTGTACTGCCTGCTTGTAGACTTATGATTCCGACTGCGACAGCTGTGGTTACAGTAAAAATCGGACAGTCTGAATGAAGTCATAAAATGTATACATATTAGCATGGTTACTCCAAAAAGACAACACTACCTACAGTTTAACTCCTGGTCGATAAGATCCGCAATTTCAAGTGTTAATACATTCGCACAAGTACATCTTGTCATTATCGACGTTAGAGCTCGTAAGTAATAATATACAACTGCGAAAAATTTCAAAATATATTGAAATGTTTGAGAAGTCTGTTAAATTAGGTAAATTATTGATCATAGCCATAATCATCTTAAAAATCGTTTCTTTGAAAAGACAATTAAACCTATTCTGAATCGCATGGCAATGGCAATTTTTTCCCCATTCCCAAGTTTGCTATTCTAAATAATTTGGGAATGGGTGTTTTGTTCCCTGTTCCCAATTTTGCTATTCTGAATCGTATCCACAAGGGATTTTTATTTTATCCACAAGGGTTGATTAGTTTCTCGAATATATTTTAATAAAATTATTATAATCACCCATATTCTGAATCGCTTGGGAATGGGAGTTTTTTCCCTATTCCCAAGTTTGCTATTCTGAATAATTTGGGAATGGGAGTTTTGTTTCCTGTTCCCAATTTTGCTATTCTGAATCGCATGGGAATGAGAGTTTTTTCCCTTTTCCCAATTTTGCGCAAATTCTTTCCCAAGCAAATTGTTTGGGAGACAAGTTAAAAAAGTATTAAAAATAGTTTAAATAAATATGAAAGTAACTTATAATGATCAGATTTTTGAATATATAGTCAAACTTCCATAACTCGAACTAACAACAGTGCACCAAAGTGTTAGAGAGCAAATTATATAGAATTCTGCTTCATAACTCGAACTTCTATAACTCAAATTTCTCTATATCTCGAGCAAAAATTTTGTTCCGGGTCGATAGGCAGATGCGGAAAGTACATTCTATAAGTCGAATTTTTGTTTTAAGTATAAATGCATTTTGCTGTTAGGGTAAGTCCCTTTTCCAAACCAAATGTTTCATTTTTTCTTTCTTATGTTGCAGCGTGGTTTAAAGTAAATAAAATAACTTCCAATGCTACTCTTAACGATTATATTGAGCTTGACAAAAAAATTTGTACATCAAGTTTTCCTACAGTTGACGATAATATTCAGCACTATAGCTCTAAATTACTGGATCCAATTCAAAGCGCAACGGAAAGTAAAGATGACGGTTCTGTGGATGTAATTATTTATCAGCCTTCCAAGAATGAAGTAGGAGACTTATTCAAAATTCTGAATCTATATTTGCAAACGATTGTTACTACAACTGATAGTGATAAGAGTATGAATAAAGTGGAATTTCTTTTTACTGAAAATGAGAGAAAAATTAAAGTATAAGAATCTTGCTACTTCGATAGCAAGGAGTGGAGAAGATATAATCACGGTTGCCACTTGAAAATTTTTTTCTGTACCAAAATTGGTTTAAAAAGGTACCATTTCTGTGAAAAAAGGTCCAAAATTTTTCTATTGTCTTTTTATAAGAAAATACAATTTATATAAAATGTACAATAAGTATAAAACAATACAATATCCACAATAAAGTTGGGTCGCCGAAAATGTACCATTTTTTGAACATGAGTACCAGAGTACCAAACGGAAAAAAAAGTACCAATTTTGGTACTAAAGTACCATAAGTGGCAACCGTGGATATAATAGCACAAGTTGAACCTATAAATCCCGAAAATATAGTGGCAACGATGAGAACGAACCCAGAGAGTTGTAATTATGTGTTTATACTTGATTCAAGTCCTCAAAACGAAGAAATTATACTTAGAAAGGGGAACCAGAAGTTAGAATAATAAATAGTGCAGACACCAAGAAAATACGGTAAAAAAGTGGAGGTCTGAACGCAGATCAAAAATCACAAGAGCGTGGCTGGAAATGCCACCATAAAAGAGATCCTCCTCGATGGTTTAGTCCGTATACTACATATTAATGTTAGGGAGTTGGACACACCATTCCGACGACGATCGGTTTAATGGTGCATTAATCATTCCACCTCCTCACCACAAAAAAAAAAAAACAAAAAAATTAGGCGGAGATTCATTTCAACTAGGCTCAAATTACTCAGTGCTAGAGGGCACGTAATTATATTGGTGACGTATTATAAAGTATTACTTAAGGTGAGTATAAGTTTGATTTAAACATATATTTAAGCTTTTTGTTCCGAAAAAACTTTAAAATGTAGCATTTACCGACAATTTTCCTCACAAGGGGAGAGGCAATTCGTAATCTATGTTTCAAGTCTGTGGGGTTAGAAATATAATTAAAATCATTGAAGCAATAACACTTTAAAACATATTTGTCTTACGAAATTACTGCATAAAAAAGATTAAGAGCTCTATACTTTATGACTATTACGTTGGATTTATTATACTCCCCCTAATGATATCTTTGAATTTATTAAGAAATTAGTTAAGACGTAGCAACGTTTTGTTTTTGATGTTGCGCTCTTGATTCTTTGTGTACCGGCAATTGTGGTTACAACAAACCCTTAAACAAAGTCAGCAAAAATAATCTGCCATGTTCCCCTCACTTGTTTCTAATTTTGGGTTAGATATATTTCTGTTTAAATATTACTCTTACTTAATGTACATTAATGTCTGCCTTTCCATTGATACTAGAATAATACTTGTTTCAGCTTTCGACCTTTACGATTCAATGGGTGAAATTTATTCATTTTGCATTCATAGAGGTGATTTGAATGAATTCAAGCTTTATAGGTTAGGTTAGGTTCGGAAGGCGTGTGTTGACCGTTGTCAGTACTTCCACTCGGAGGCATATATTGTAGTCCCTGTTAAACCATTAGGTTTTCCAGATGAAAAAGCGATCCCCTAGGCATTGAAGTCGCCTTGTCTGAAGTCCTGGACAGAGACAAAGGAGGTGGTTGATGGATTCTACCTCCTCTTCATCTTAGCAACTACTGTATAATCCGCTTTTTCGAATTCGCCACCGTTGGAGCATAGGTGCAATGGCACAGTGCCCCGTTAGTACTCCAATAAGCACACAAACTGCAGGTTTGCTGACGCCTAAAAGGCTTTTCGTTTTATTTTTCTCCAACCTAGCCCATAAGGTTCTAGCGACCTCACAGTCAACGCGATTAGTCAAGTATTACCGGAAAATTATACGGTATAACAAATAAAAGAAATAGATTTAAGGACGTGTGCGAGTTAGGCTAAGTTGATGCTAAATCAAAAGGGATATTTTTTGGGATTTTTAGCACTGCACACATTTAGCCATTTATTAACACGTATCGACACATCACTACATTATCGGCACAACTTAGAATTTCCCTCATTTAGAAAGCAACTTAGCCTGACTCGCACACGTCCTAAGTATACATTGAGTTTAAAATTTGTAGTTAGATCATGTATTATTATTTAAATTCACAATAACATATTTGTTGTGTGTCAGATTGGCGTACATTATTAATATTATTATTCATATTAATCTTCTGTACAGGTTATAAATATTGCTACTGTTTAACAAGACTTTAACTTCTTCTTTAACGGACAGAAGTGCTTTATACAAAAAAAATTCGTTTATGTTCTCTGAAAATTCGACATACATCAATAATAGCTCTGTTCTACGAGTTACTCGAGTAAAACACAAGTAAAGTCCAAACTGAGAGCGGAACACAAATAAAGTGCAGATTTTCATCGAACAGCTTTGTGTAAAGTCTGAAGTCTGAAATGAAGGACATTTCAAATACAACTATGCGTAAGAAAAATTTTCAGCAACAGATAAGTTGAGATAACGAAAATATGAATTTTTTTGTAACATACGTCAATGACAGTTGACGTTATTAAAACCGGAAAATTTGTAATTTTGATCATAGGAAAAAAACTGTAATCTCCCAGAAGACGCAATCCAATGCATCGTTAACATCATCAACTGCATGTTTAGACTAGACAAGTTCACAAAGGCCTGGAAGATGGCCTCGATTGTAGTGTTTCCTAAACCGGACAAGAATCCC